AGCTACTTACAGCTTTTGATTAGATCAACAACGACAAAATCTGGCTGACATACAGTAGATCAGTCCAGATTTTCTCTTTTATGCAGAACTTTCTCCACTGTAATTATTACAGTTTTATTCCCTGAAGCTGGAGAAATGCAGACTTAGAAATACAGTATAAGGTCTTCCATGGTGATTCAGCAACACTGGAATACCCAGGACAGAATAAATGCAGAGGAGCAGTGGAATTAGAATGACTTTTCAATACCGAATGCTGGACACATGCACTGCTGGACTATAGCTTCCCTGCAGTTCGACTAGGGTAAAGCAGGCAACAAGTATGTTCCCACAAAGCAGTGCTCAAGAGGCACTCTTACAATTTGTAAATGTAAAACTGAAGACGACAAACAAAAATGAAACTATTTGGATGGGGATGTGACAACAGTCAGATCTCTAGCTAGCAGAGAATTTTATGTAACGATCCTGTGCTGCCGAACACCCCTCGCCAGAAGTAATATTGGTACCTAGCACTTTTTGCCATTGTAGTGGCAACTGTCACCTCTTCAGCTTTATTCTGTTTTACACAGCTGACCTGACCCGAATGACGCCATCGTCCCTTCGATTGGCTGGGCTGGTGTCAGTTGCTGGCTTAAATGGACACAGAAGAAAGAATTCAGCACCCCGTGATTGAAATTCAGGATTGCTTGGATGCATGTGCGTGTGGTGAAGCAATCCAAATAAAGACCACTTTTTGTTTTGCTCCAGTGAATTGTCAAAGAGATTTAGAAAGCCAGGGGATCTCATTATGGTAATACAGGTTAAATACTTTAAAAGCATATGGTGTTACCATCCTGAATGAAGCTGTCCCTGCCGGCTCCAGGAGGCAGACAATAGGCCAGAAACACATCTCGTGTCTCTGGTCCACCAATGGGAACCAGGGATTATAAATCACTATGAGAAAACATCCCGTGCTATCTGGTATCAAGTAATGCCTTGTCTTTCCAGTTACAGTTTGATTCATCCTTCTCCAGAGGGGAACAAACTCTAACCATGTATTCCAGTGGACAAAGGAAAACACCTCCAAAGTTTCTTATGGTCCATTCTTGTCTTGATAATAGTATCTGTAGAGATGGGTGAATACAGTGTACAGTGTATCTTAAAAATATATGTAGAGATAGGGACTGCTTTCACGGAGATGCTGCCTGCCCATTGGGAAAAAAATACCAGTGAAAACCATCGGCACAAAATAAAAATGTTTCACATTATCACAAAGCTTTAAAGATGCTTTGATACGGCTTAAAGATTTCTTTTCTTTCTCCTCCAAAGGCCCCTTCTAATTCACTGCTGACAGATTCTTCTCTGTGAAATGGAGCTCATTACCACATATTCGCTAATTTTCTCCAGTAGGGAGCAGTCTCAACATTGACCTTGGTAACTTTAAATGTCAGCTCTTTCCCTGTGGGCACTGAAATAATGTGTTGTCTCTCTCTTGGAGCCCAAGACAATGACACATTGTAGTCCACAAAGACCCTATTAGTAGTCCGAGCCTGACAGGGATTATCTAGGTTTTCAGAAACATGTCCTAGGTTACCGCTATTTCAAGGAGGTTTTTTTGGATCTGTAAGCAACTATGCTGCAGACAGGCAGCTGAAGTACTGCAATATTTTAAACATAGTAGAAATCCTCAGAAATGCACCTATTTCTTCAGCTGCTCCTTGCAGCTAATTCTGAGGGCAGCAGATGAGCTCTACCGAATGACAGTGGAATCATTTACAAAGATACTGCCTTTAATTCCCCTCCTTCACCAATCTGCCAGAAATTGCTGCTTCCAAAGTTGGCAGATAATGATGTTTGCCCATGTATCAGACATTTCTATGCAAAGCCCAGTCTCTTTGCTTTCCAAACCCTAGAGAAAGGTAGATTTAACTCAGTGGGTGTCCTATCAGGGCAGCAGCATCTGGCAAGCTTGTGGAGAGAACAGCAGGAGGCGATAATTTCTTAAATTATCACAGCAAGATTTGGCACAACTTCTTTGCTGGCACTTTCAATTTTATTTCCTATTCTGCCCTGAAAAAAAGGAAATTAGGGACACTTGGAAGGAAGACCAGCCACAACACACAAAACTAGAATTTCCTTCAGCACTGTCTATGTTCTGGAGTTGGTTGAAGATGGTTCCTTGTTTGGGTTTTTTGTGTGTGTCTTCTAATAAATTCCTTTACAATGTATAAATGATTAAAAATATATAAAATATGTAAAAAATAGAACCATTCTCCTCCACATATATTACAGGATTTACACAAAAAGTATAAAATTTTTTTTCTCTTTCACAGCTTTCTCCAGGATACTGGAACACTTCAAAATTCCATCCCTTTCTAACTACCCCACCATATCTATTTATGCATTATTTAAGTCAACTCAAGAAGATGGGTAAAACACGTATGTACCTGTCTTGTCCAGGAGACAAGCTGTAAGTATCTATTTGCCTCTGTTTCTTTCATATCTGATCTATTTCCTTGCAATACTGGCACCTTCTAATTTTCCTTTATCCCCAGTTACCTGTGATGTTGTTGATTTGGCTTGTTGACATTTTAACAGCTTGTATAGTTTGCCTCAATTCCTGACACTGGTTGTCTCACCTGTTAACTTCATGGTGCTGGAGAGCTACTGTCATCTTTCTTTTCACTTTTCACGCATCTTTTTGCTTCATTGACCCTTGTGAATGGAGACTTTAAGAGCATATCTTAATAAATACCCCTTCCTTAATGCTATTCTCCTGTTTACTGTGATTCTACTCTTCTGCTAGAATCACTGCCTCTGCTCATATCTCATCTATTTTACTGACTGAATGTCCGACTTGCCAGGCACCACTCTACTGCTTAAAATCACAGCCACCTGCTATTCAGATTAAGCCCTCACTACATCTACTTTTCACATGGAAAAGTGCAGTCTCTTTCCCCAACTCCTTTCACTCTCCACACTGACTTTTATTTCCTCCTCTTGCTGGTCTCATCCTTTTAAAGGTTTCTACCCACCCTAACAGTTCTTCACCCAGGTCCAGTTTCCATGTCAACGTTTCTTCTACCTCTCCCTCTGTTCTGCTTTCATGGCATTAATACCCAGCTCTCTACATTGCACAAGTAAGAGGACTTCTGTTTGGTACTAATACTCTTCCAGTATTATCTGCTGCTCCCCATCTTATATCACAAGTCAAATAGGGACTGATGTTTTATTGCACTGTAAGCACCCAACACAACAAAGTCCCAAGCCATGATGGAAAACTGTTATCAATAATGTATGCATGTCACAATATAACATTTGCTAAGTGGCTCCAGATCTTATACAACAAAAGGCGCTATTCTGCATTACAGCTGTGGTTGAGCAGCCATAACAGCACAGTGATGTACGTCAAAGGTACACATGGCCCTCTCTCTTTCCGCTTACATATAAAATTTTGAAAAGTCATCTGTATCTGATTAAATAGATATTCACTAAGAATAATCAAACAAATCTCTTTTGTGCTGTTTTACATGCTTTTTGCAAATACAAACTTTCTACTGCATATTGTTTAAATGAAAAATTACATTTGTTTGGAAGCAAGACAGTATGTACATGAGAAATAAGATTCTGTATGTAAGCTTCCACACAGAAGATCTCCAGCACAGTTGGGCACATTCTAAATTTACTTTAGCTGGATGATGTCACGTTCGAACAGACAAGGTTGAAGAGATGTCTGCAGGGACACAGCCCCAGGAAAAAGTAGGGATTAGCTTGTCAATAAAGATGTAAACAGACTGCTCTGAGGCAGCCTCATTTCTGACATTAGAAAATCTTAAATGGTTTTATGGTGAAGAGCTTGTGCAAAATTGGAGCAGGCTGTCAAGACTGAAATCTATTCATTTCAGTTTTTCAATAGCTGCTGCCTGTCAGGCAAACAGCCTCCATAACATTACAGGGTTAAAAAAAAACAATTGCACATAACATAAACCAGTAAAACTGAATAAAATTCATTAGAGAAAGTTATATCTGATATTGTAACAAACAGGCTTAGCTAAACTTCATGAGAATATCAACTAAATTTGTGTGAGACTATAACTTCAAATAGGTACATGAGGAGCATGTGCATATATCTCAGCTCCTAGAACTTCCATAGCAAGCTGTTATAATGGACGAGATTATATGCAAAAGCAACCGTGACTTTTAAAAAAGGCAGGCCTCATTTTTCAGTGAAATGAGGGTGCACTTTGGGTATTTGCGAAACACTGGTATGAATCTACAGAGAGAAGCATAATAAGCAAAGAACCTAAATAAGGGAATACTCCTAATTGGAAGAGTCTGTCAAGTGGTAAATCCCACTGAACAAACATTGGGTGATGCATATAGGCAGAAAAGAGTTAATGCTATGATATAACCACCATTCCCTTACTGTAATTTGATAAACAGCCTCCCTACTCACCTGCTTTTCCCAAGTTCTGTTCTACTCTTAGAATACCTGAAGTCATATTACACATTATTTCACTATTGAATAACTATGCTTAAAAAGATGGGGTATTGAATGAAAGACATCCAGAACAAAACCAGTTCTAGTAGACCCAATGATAAGAGATCAAATTCATTACCATGACAGCACCCGTGTCCATGAAGAACATCTTTCTGCTATCAGGGCTACCAAACCTACTAAATCAAAAATTTGTCTTTGCCCCAAAGTTAACAACAGAACTGGCAAGAGGCATTTTATCTCTCCATATCTTAGCAGGGGAAAAAAATATCAGTTCACATTAAAGGCAACCTAGTGTTTAATATGCTGGCACCAATTTCTGCTGTATTTTCAACCTGTCAGTGACACTCATCCTGCCCACAAGGCTAGGAACTTACATTCCTCATATCGACAATTATACTGCAAAACCAGATTATCTGCCTGAACATGAACAATTTAAGAAATGTGCAGTTGAATGTTATATTTTGTACCTCTAAAGAGAACTAGAGGATTTTCAGAGATACACCTTTCAGTTATCATGTCTTACCCGCATTATCAGTTGTGAATACAGGTATTCTTCAATGTTTGCTGTTTGATACACTTTTGCCATAACTATTGTTTTTTCCAAAGGCTCTCATGCTTTCTCCAGTCTCTGGCTGTAATCTTACATTCGGTACAGTAAAAATAGAAGACACTGCAAAAAAAAAAAAAAAGAAAAGAAAAGAAAAAAGTGTCAGTGCTTGTTAAAAATATCCCAACAACTCAAAAAGCTTTTTCATAAAGCAACCTCTTTTGGCAGGAGCTAGAAAAACCCTGACAATTTCCACATAACATCAGGCAATTAATTATTAGTTGACATGATGACATTAATCACAGGCATCAAACTGCAAATAGTTAAGGACTCACACACTGATGATATGAAAAGACATTTTTACTTAGGGTATCTCAAACTGGTGGGGGAAAGTCACTGACTTTAATGCTTTCTGAGAACAAATGTTCATATAAAAATATCTTCAGAGAACTGCCACTGCATGATTGCATGAGGAAATGCTAAGAGACTGTTTAAAGAACTGATCAGGGCTGTAACAGTTTTCTTTGGTTTTGCACTAATGCAGCTGTAAGTTTTTGGAGTTACCCCTTCATCTTTATATCTTTAAAAGACCCGGTTATTGTTTTATGCACAGATCTTCCCACTGTACTATTTACACCTCAACTTGCATTTGGAATTCTGCTATCCCTGGTAACATAAATCACAAATTGCATATATTCTATGCAAATAAACCAGTATGAGCTCTCAAATATGAAAGCATAAAAGGGAAGGATCAATTTCACTTTTTAACAGTAAATAACAAGAACTCCTATTTAGTAAAAAGGGTCAATCTATGGGTTAGTCCTCATGTCTGAGATGAGTGAAGGCTATGTTGAATCATAAATGGCATTGTACCCCCAGACAGGATGTTTTTAGCAGAACTGCACAACTTTCACCTTTTTAATGTACTATTTTTAAAAACTGAGAGTGGCTAGATGTTAGTCAAAGCATACCTGAAAACTGAACTTCCAACCCAATTGAAATGTTGTCTTGACTTGAAACCAAGCCAAATAACAAAATCAAACTTTTGCTTCTCACATAAACTCATAGAATAGTTAGCGTTGGAAAGGACCTTAAGATCATCAAGTTCTCAACCCCCCTACCATGGGCAGGGACACCTCGCTGTAAACCATATTACCCAAGGCCTCGTCCAACCTGGCCTTGAACACTGCCAGGGATGAAGCATTCACAACCTCCCTGGACAACCTATTCCAGTGCCTCACTACCTTAACAGGAAAGAACTTCCTCCTTATATCCAATCTGAACTTCCCCTGTTTAAGTTTTAACCCATTACCCCTTGTCCTTTCACTACAGTCCCTAATGAAGAGTCCATCCCCAACATGCCTATAGGCCCCCTTCACATACTGGGAGGCTGCTAGGAGGTCTCCATGCAGCCTTCTCTTCTCCAGGCTGAACAGCCCCAACTTTCTCAGCTGATCACATTTTAAAAATAAAACACAAGATTAAAATTTTATGTTGTAAAATATTACACAGAATATAAATATATAGTATTAAAGTCGAGATGAGGAGAGAAAACTGAACATTTTCTTTTCTTCAGTGTAGGCAGTCTCCATACTTTGTGAAATACTGTGATTCCAAAGAGACAGTATTTTCTGATGGAGAATCATTTGGCTGGCTCCCCCCCCCCCTTTTTTTTCCCCCCTCACCTGTGAGTCTTTCCTTGTTTTTTACTACTAAATCCCCAAATTTGCAATTCAGCACTAGGACCAAATTGGACAAAAAATATTCCATGATGAATAGTATTCACTAGAGATATCTGCAAAATTGCAGTCATGTCTGGATCAGGAGGCAGTAAATTTTGCACGTACAAACACTTCTGTTGTGCATAGAGACTCAAGGTGTTTATAACTGCATTTAATTAACTATCAATAGCAAGTGTTTCCCAATGTAAAATATTAACCCAGAGAACTAGAATCACAAAACCTGGTAATTTCACTACACAGTAAACATTTTCCCAACTCTCCAAAGTATATGACTTCTTTGTTTTGTAAATATGTTTACAAGTATATCCAAGTCATACTAAATAGAAATGATTGTAGTACTTGATACTGGGATTGTCCTTTCTTGCATCTGGATTTATGCTTCATAATGATTATCTACTAGACACAGAAAAAGTCTTTCTGTAACTCAAAATTTTACTGGAGGCATTTAGAAGAACCTTGCTTTAAAATATAATGATTTTTCATCTTTATTCTCCCCCCTTCAAAAGGTTTCACTGCTCCTGATGTTTAACGTTATGCAAAGACGTGTTTCTGCCAATGAATATCGCCTTATGGTTATGCTTCTGCAAATAACCTGCTGTGAGCTGATAAAAGGATTAATGCAGCCAAAATTCTTAATCTGTGAAATTACAAATTAAATTCTCATATTAAAAATACCACCCTGAGGTATTTTTTGTGGTTTTAATTCCCCTCTGGTGTTCTGCATACATTGTGCTTGTTAATGACTAGGACAAGACTGTCTCTGTTGGCAGCCTGCTGCAGAGTGATAATGTGTAGGCATTTACTTCACTGATAGAACTGGATTTAACCACTGACTGATAAACTAAGTGGCAAGTGGGTAATAAGTCCATATTAACAGAAAAGTACTACTGCAGAATTCAGAATTCAAATCCTGGCTAGACTAAATCACACAGTCAGAAGGATTGAGATGTCACCACTGCAGAGTGATTTTTGTTTTCCATTACTAGAAATAGGATAAATGAACTGGCATTCTTGGTGTTTCATTAGTCCTGAAGAAATTAATCTCTGCATCAGTTTCAGCAAAGGCAGACCTTCACCAGCAGCCTTAATTTACATTGCATCCTTTGAATTTTCAGCTTACAAAGTCCTGCAGTCAGCAAACTGAGTGGTGGGTTAGCATGGCAGAAGAGGAAACTAGGAATCGTTTTGCAGAGGAGGGACATGGTCTGTGACAGAACTGGTGATGGACAGAAATTAATGGTGCTAATTTGATTTTAATGTTCCTACTCTACAAATGGGAAAGTACTCTTCAGAGTGGAGTCAGTGTACTTGGACAGCCAGACCACCAAACCAGCTCAAAATGTGACTACTACAGCTGTCATGGACAGAAAAGCTAAATTTACAGAAGACAGAAGTTTTCATACTGACATGGATGCAAACATAATCTATTGTGTATTAATATTCAGAAAGGGAGCTCAATTTTTGCAAGCAAATTTTTAAATCAGCCATAGCTACATACCCACATATGTACTATTGTTGCACCTCTGAACTTTTTGCCACAGAGTACTGTATTTAGCTCTTCTGCTAATGGATATATGTTTGAAGGCAGAAAATAACATACACTGTTCCAATACAAACATGCTTCTCTTTACCACATTGAGTTAATGCAAAATGCTGATTGTTATTCCCCTGTGAAACCTATTTTTAAGAACAGAACCTTTTCTGAATCAGAAATATGCATGATAACATTTTCCCCCGGAATAAATAGTAGTGTGCTTTTAACATTGGACAAATATATGGTAACTTACGATATAAATGATTTTCATTTATTAAAGAGATTATTGACAACATACATGATGACAGGAACATTTTTGCACAGTCAACTGGAATACATTTTAATAAAAGATATAATGAGATGTATGTAGATACTGCAAGCATTCTTAGTTAATAATATAATCTGCCACCCAGTTCTTACACTAAGTCAGCAAATTAACTGATTGTCTACTTTGTGTTTCTCAGACTTCCAAATGCCAAGTCCTTTCTTAAAGGTTACTATTATAACACACAGAGATTCTGTGAATCAAACACGGCTGGATTTTTATCCTGTATGCTGCAGCTAGTTAAGTACTGTATATTATAAAGTGAAAAGCACCAAATATGTAAATTGTATTCTTCTTTTTGCTTTATGACAATTCAGATAAGTCTACTGGCTGCACACATAATCAAATACAAAGATAGCAGGCTGCAGACTGCAGAGCAGAGATAGCAAAGGAAAAGAAAAAAGAATCCATTTTGCCCTATGTCAAGCTAACTATGTAATTTCAAGCTACACAATTGCACTCACATATTTTGTGTGTGGCTGCATATGTCCATGAAGCTGTCTGCATGTGAGGGTTAGCATACACCATGTATCTGTATGAACTAGCGTTTTTCTTTTTAATCAATTTAGAGGTGGTTATACTCACTATCAGTTAACTCCCATAGCCGTGGAGGCAGATCACTGAAATACTCATGGCTCAGGGCTGCCTGTGCTGACAATCTGTTCTTTGGGAAACACTGGAGTAGTTTGGAGGCTAGATCTTCTGCGTGATTCACATAGCTCAGCCTGAAACACAAACAGAAGGTCTTTCTGAAAAACAATCTCATAATTCTGTTTACTAATTCCATCTGCAGTCAGCACAGTGGAAACACAGAGTTTTGCTAGCCAGGATAACGACAAATATCTGTCTGGGAGCACTACCAGGAAATATATTCCTCAGGTTAGGGAGTCAAGGGATTATCTGTGGACTGATAGCTCAAAATTCATACAAATTTTACAAATATAGAGCATACAATATACCATATCACATATGCCCTGCCTAGTACGCAAAAGGATCATAAGCAACAGCATCTTGAAAGCAACTGTTTGGATTCTTCCACTCACATTTTATTGAACATACAGACAGACTGAAAATTTACAGCACAGGAAACAAATGGTTATTACTATCTAGACCAATGAAATCCAAGCTTAAAACAACAGCAGTATTCATACAACTTTGTGAAGTATCAAATTTTAAAATCCTGTGATGCTTAACAGGCAACATATGCATCATGTTTCATAAAGACATTTGTCTTTTGGGAAGTACTCGCTTCTTATATTTTCATATATTCACACAGCAGGAGGTTGACTCTTCATTAGGTGTTAATGCAATGCAAATATTAAATTGTAAGTGAATTATCTTTTCTAAGCTACCTAGGGAAGTCTGAGGAAAGCCATTGTTCTACTGGGAGCTATATGCTTGGGAATATTATAAAAAGATATAAACTAAAAATAATAGAATTGGAGGGGAGAGAGTAAAATGGTAATCAGTAAGGTGTGCCTTGGGTTTAGTAACCTACAGGTGCCTCCTGAATTTCCAAAGCCACTGAACTTACTGTAATATGCAGTTAGAAAAGAGGTGCTGAGTCTTGTAGACACTGTGTTGCTACTGCTTGTAAGATAACTTTGTAAATTCAGCCATGCCTTTGTGCTCAGTAAAGATCTCTCATCAGGTAAAAAAAGCCAAAGTGTACAAAAGGTCTCCCATTTTTCAATGCACTGCCTTCCCAAACCAGGTAGAGTAGACTGCAGTCCAAAATGCTACCATAGTTGAAAAAAGATGGTGTTATCTACTAAAATCAATAAACCTACAGCATGTTTCATGCAAGTGTTAATTTTTGTTGATCTTGAGCTGGCTTTTTGGAAAGCACTCTAGGAAGATGTATTAAGCAGTTATTCTTTTATTGGGATGACATGGCATAATTTATATGGATCAGTAGGCACAGGAGAAAACTATCTCTACAACAAAGAAAAGATAACACTGAAAACACTAAATGAAAAATAAAATGCTATTTTAGTGAGAACTTTAAGTTACAAATGTTATAGACAAAACTTCTTCTGTCCATGCCAATACTAAGTGTGAAAAAAAAAAAAAGAGTCAGTAGCATCTCTACTAAATTACATGCTGGCATATGTATGATACCCTGATATTCGTAATGACTCACAAAACATGCCACTGGCTGTCTTTTTAACTTCTAGCAACTGTATGCTAGACAGGAAGTTTTGAATAGTGTGCTTATCTGATCTCGTCTGAAGAGCAGGCAGGATATTTGTCCAGAAATTCATAGGGATGAATCTCCCAGCACTGCTGATCACTTTAGGATATTCTTTCTCATCAGTCATAATCTTAAAGAAATCCCAGGATTAGGATTTAGAATTGCTATTCCAGATTAAACAGAAGCTGAACTTCTGTGTTTGTGATGGGCATAATTTTTTCCGTTTTCATTTTCAGTTTGTGATCAAATAAAGACATTGTGAATGGAACAGTCATTGCCTATAAATTAGGTTGTAAATTAGATTAATTCCAGACTGCTTAAAATAACAGATTGTAGAAATTGCTTCCTTAAACTTTTTTTGAAGGTTACAATAAAGTTCATTACAGAATACAGCAAAGTACCAGGAAAAAGGCTATTCTTAACAAAGAGAAGAAAAAGGAAGGCAGAATTGGTATTAATTCTTCTACACATCCAAAATTTCCATGGAGTGGTGATTATATTGCATCTGTGAGGCCTGTGTTGTGTCCTAATCCCACCTGCACCAATTATTTGTTCAGAGGTCTTGGCAAATCTTTTCACCAACATATTTTTTTCCCCACAGAAGTAGGTGCATCTTTTTTAGGAGCCATAGTAAACTTGCTCTGTCTTGAATGAAATCTACTGTCAAGTCAGGAAAACGAGGTCACTTAGGTAAGCAGTGAAAAATCACCCTATAATGTAAGAATTGTACCCTTCCCTAGATGATCCATAGGTATAGTGAAAATACTAATTAAGTAAGGCAAAGCAGAAGAAAACAACATTTGAACATTGAGCTCCGAAGCGCAGGTGAAATTACGGATGGTGACACTCTAGTTTCTCAGTGCTCTTGAACAGAGTAGTGCTGACATTTTGATTGTATTAATGGTCAACAACATGCTTGGCACACTGTTAATTTTTTCAGCAATAAAATCAGATTGACTAATATAAACGGAAAATAGTTTGAATAGGAAGTTTAGGAAGCCAAACTCATCCTGCCAGTTTAGAAACAAAAAGAGATCAATCAAGAAGCCAAATATAAGTATCAAATAATCAAGAAGATTATACACTAATACAATCTAAACATAACAAAAATATCTGAAACATAACCACACCAACTAAAGAATAATTGTGAATAAGTCAAAGTTAGAACCAATTTTATGATTAATAAATAGAAAAGGGATTAAACTCATTGCACAATCTGCAAACATACTTCAATCTGCTGTACCTATTACATTTACCTGCCTTGATAATACTCCCAGTCGGGCTGGTGGGAGAATGGTGGTGTTAGTTGATTCTACCGTAGTTTGAAGGTTCCAGTTGCTACATTATTAGTATTATGTACCCAAGCATAGAAGATCATCCAAGTGACTCATGGATCAAATCATTTTTTTTAGCTAGGCTCAGCTGTTATCTTTAAAACCCTACATCAGAGCTCTAGCTTCGTTTATGGAACTTTGCAAAGCAATGAAAAAATTCTTCTCCAAAACTCACGTCTTCCACAGGTCAGTTCCGGAAATCAGTGAACATTGCAAAAGGCATCTGCATGAGGGCTCCTAAGGTCATCTGTATCAAAACTGATGCTTTAGTGGAATGCATGACTAATTTTGCTTCTTTGTTTAAAGACAAGCTTTACTGATGAAAAATGCACTTACTTATACTTACTTTTTACTTATACTTACACTTACTTATGAAAAATACACTGTATGATCATGTATTTAAATTACATCTACTATATCAGAATTGTTTGGAGAAACCCATTTAGCACGTAACCTCAGCAGTCTGAAACATCAGAATGTTTGGTTTCTTTCTTCTTTTTTTTTTAATTTATTTTATTTTTATGCCAGTAGTCTCTTTAAAATGTCCTCCTTAAAACATTAACAATTTGTCTGATGTGAGTTTGAAACACAATTCCTTGATAGAAACAAAGGCTGAGTTTTCTGATGGGGTTCAGTAGTTAAATATCTAATACAGAAAAGTTAAGAAAAAGAACTAAAGAAAAAATACTTGATTTTTAAATATACCTCCTTTAGTATGTGACAGGATGGAATTTCATACAATATGGCTTTGTGACTAAAACATAATAGCATGTTTTGTCTCACAGCAGTTGGGCCATATAGGAACTTAGCATGCACGATATGGCAAGTCTCAATATTCACGCTTCATTTACTGTCACACTAATCACTGAGGAATAGTTACTAGCCATGACAGCATACATACTTTCAGAAATGTGGCATACAGCAGAATATATAAGTATTGTTCTAATAGAGATCAGGAATATTTTTACATACCTACTCTGATGACATCTATGAAACTCACTGCTTTTCAACTTGATCCCAACAGCTATATATGGTCTTAGCTCAAGAAAAACAAACACCATATGAACTTGTCTCACTTTAAATATATATGAATCTGACTAGACTTGAGCAGTTGTAAATCTCATTGGATTACAAGAATTTTATTTAATTTCAGAAAACAGGCTTAAATATCTTTCTACTGCAGAGGAAGGTCAGTATTTGGTCAAGCAGAACATGACTAAGATCACCGAAGTTTTGTTTGAGCTCTTGAGAAAAAAAAGATTTGGGCATGTGTAATGAACTCCTGAACTTGGGGTGATTTGCTTTTAAATGCAATGAAGAAGGCAGCTCAAATTCACATTAATAATTAAGACAAATGGGCATTAAAACAAATGGAGATAATACACTGTCTATATACTCCTAACAGCATGAGGTATACTTCCCAAAGCAAAAATCGTTTACTGTGCATATTTTCCATGTGAAGATACGACTCTCACAGCATATCATTAATTCATTTCTCGATTGACTTTTATAGTATGGCCTAGAGGAGAGAGGCACCTAATTCCCTTTGGAAATCTCAGCTCGCTTTTATTCTAAGTAATCTCTTGCAATCTGAAGTGCTGAAAGACAAAACCACAGTTAACCTGAACAATCACAACATTTAGCAGAGTTTAAATTTTAATGGTATGAAGAGAATAAGCAAATTGGTGCAAATCAGGCAGGGCACACAGCAACCCTTCCAGCTTGTTTCACAGAAGATGCCGTGGTCCCCTCAACAACAGGGCTCCTGTACAGTCCCTGTGGTATCCCACCTGCTATTGCACTGCTATGAGGGTTGCATTCCTCATTTTCACCCAAGTCTGCTTGAGGATGACAGTCTTTTCCCCTTGTCACAGGCTTTATGCCTCTCCTGAATTCTGACACAAAACTGTATCAACACCATATATTGTAGTTTATGTTTTCTTTCCAAATTCATTATCTTCTGGCCAGCTGATACAGACATGTCCTCACATGCCTTAATAGTCTGCATCTCTGAATATACATGCGACCCCACTAGCAGCAGCTATGCAGCACAAAAATCGGAGCAGGGCCTACCTAAAGTAACATTTCCTTTTTATTAAATATCAACAGCTTTTCTGTTGTTACAGCCATGCTGAGAACACCTACCATCTTCAAAGACCTGATGTGCCAGCTCCAGCATGCAGAAGCTGTTTCCGTA